CTAAGATTCACACTAGTTACATCGTGCAAGGGTTTTGGATGTCGTAATTGACTTAAAACATGTTAAGACCTCTTGCACTGTACCGCTTACAAAGTGGATTGCAAAGTGCGCTAAGGTGCGTTCCACGACTCACCTCTGCACGGAAGTCAGAATCATTGGAACCTGCTCTATTGCAAGTTTCGTCGACGATCATCCGGATGAAGGGCATCAGACCACTGAAGGAGCGTGGCGCTTGTGCATTTAGTACTGAAAATAGGTGAATATTAAGGCAAAGAGATTTGCAATCTGGAACTATAAAAATTCAACATGTCAGCCGCCAATTCATAAATCTTTGCGAGGAGAGGAGACAAGCAATTTGTGTGTCATGCGTAAAAGCACCTGTGGAGATGAGGGAGGGTAGAGTTATGGTCGCAAACTGCATTCATTAGAATTTCCTGACCTTACCACTTAATACACTGCCTAAATGCAGATTCATAAGCATCAGCGAGGTATCATTGCAACAACGAGGGGAATTTGCAAATAAGAAGGAACTATTACCCACAACGCCTCACCTGCATTCTGAATGCCACGATTTGTTGACCGAATGAATTCCTCTAGAACACGTTGGATTATCCAGAAGCACGGTTTAATGAAGTTGTACAGAGCGGAGGCATCAGAAAGGCTAACAAAGACTTGGTAGTATTTCTGAAAAATGAACCATTTACAATTGTGATGCTGCAGTACTTAACTCAATAACACTAAACTTAGAGGCAGGTTGAGTTCGTTCGACTCCAGCGGCTCTAACTATGACAGCATTTTGCCATACGCACAACAATGTTCATTTTTCAAAAAAATCGGACTTTCTATCGGTTTTCCTGATTGACTAAACCGGATTGAGCTTGATGGCCCTCCTCAATTTAATCATTTACAGCACTTGAAGGATCAAGCATGCGGTTATTGAGAAATGCCTCCTCGAGAATGATTAAACTAGCTCCGACACTGACGCCAGATGACATTTTATCCAAACACAGTGTAACATTTACCTATCAGTCTTGATATATCCTGTTTTACTGAACTCATTTCGTTGGAACACTATTCAAATCCCCCACTAGCGAACAATCTGCATGAATGGTCTAATGTTCCAGATTTTCTTTGTTGTTCTTCGATTCCCTCAATGTTCAGACCTGTGTTATTTACATACAGTACACATATTTCGACCCTGTTAAGGTGCAACAGACCACACAAAGACAAGCACCAAGATTATTGAGTTAGAGAGGTGAGAAAACAGCTTAATCAAGCAATAAAAGTGTAGATCAGGTGGGACATGTACCGTACCGATAACGCGTCATTGATTTGATCGGAGTTGGGGGAGATGCCAAGCACAAGCGCAGAGCCAGGCCAGAGGAGAAGATGCATTGCCTTGACAACCAACTCCGCCAATGTTTCCTCCAGAACTTGACCTTCCGTTTCCTCCTCCTCTGTGAGTTCCAGACGGAGCAATGGATCAGTGGGATTCGAAGCGCTGTTATTAAGGGACAACTTGGTCAATGCACCCTGCGAAAGTTGAATATCGCCATTCTGACTGAGAGGCATTTCTGCAGAAAGAGATGCCTGCGAAACAATAAAACAGCCACCATTATCATTACAACACGCAAATTTAAACCTATAGTACTATGAAACAGGAACATGTCGATATTACGCTTTACCAGGGCATGAGTAAATCACGAGGTTTGCGAAATGCAATGCCACGTAAACTTACGATAAAGGAACTTGAAGAGAGAGCATTTCTCGTGCGCTTTGGAACGATTAGTCGCAGAGAAGACCTGCGTCTACCTCCCTTTCCAGGCAGGTTTGGAGGACGCATGTCATCGTCCTCAAAAATGTCCTCCATCTCGTTATCTTCAGGACTCAAACTCGCTCGAGTATCCCTTAAAGAAGGACAAACAGGTCACTTATTAGAGCTGGAGCCTCGTATGACTATTAGCCATGACGATAGCTCAGTGGACCTGCCAATATTGGAGAGCAACGTATGCTGTCTAGACTCTAGGCATGAAGGGATTGATGAACCACTGTCGAACAATGGTTGCAATAAGACTGTTGATAGAAAAACTTTCATTGACAACTGGAATGAAAGTGAGTTCACATCCTTTTCACAGAAATGATGCTTGAAAAATTGGGTACAGAAGCTTGGAATGTCGTTGATCAAAACAATAGGGCTTGCGAGAATACAAATTAAGATGTGTATCAATGGGCAAGCCTCGGTTTCTTACAAATAGCTGTCAGTTTGTAAAAAAAATTTGATTTTGATTTTTGCAAATGACTACAATAAACCGACTGCTAAGCTTAAGGAGTGCCTTTTGGACGTTGATGATTTCAGAATCGCGTCAATTGTTACTAAAATTCACTTTCAGGTTTGATACCCAGATACCCACAAAAATTACTAAAGCACAGACACACTCACTGACAAAGATACGAAATGGGCTCTGAAGTGTCTAAAAAACCCGCAACTGCGAAATTCTATATGGAAATTAATGGGCAATTATTATCTAATACTTGCATGCTGCAATAGACAGTTTGGAAATTGAATACTCACGCTTAAATTTTTTTCGAATTAAGATATTTCCTATTAGATTTTAAATGAGGACTTAACTTTGTTTAGTAGTAGTTCCCCACAATTTAGGAAAACCTACACGGTACCTCATTTAAGAAATTACCAACAATCCTAACGAGGATTTATTTCATACCAAGCATTCACGCAGACTTCACAAATTTGGGCTGTGTGATCAGCACCGCTAGAAGCTATGATGTCTTAAAACTCAGAATGCTATTGCTTGACAGGAAAAAAAAACAAACGTGGACAGTGGTGTACTTAAAATACATTTGGAGCGATTGCAGTAACGCCGACAGGTTTCGTGCGCATGGTGATGAAACTGGTTTATTTCCTCCTACGAACAATTTAAGCCCCTGTAATACAGGCCAATTTTAAACTTACAATTTCTTGGACTTCAAGAGGAGATCAATTAGTGACTCATAAAACGCCGGTTGTGCCTGAATGTCCTTAATTTGAGCAGATTTCTCATCTTCCAACAAGTCCAACAGAAGAGAGACTGCAGCTATACGATGACGAAGGCGACTCATTCGAAGTAGAGACAAGTACTGTAAGAGGCCGGGGTAGTCCTTTCGATATACTGCAAAAGCAAAGTAACCTGCATATCAAGTGAATCCGTTTAACGCAGACAACCCGGTTGCGTGCTGCACTTAAAGGTAGAGTTTAAAAAATGTTAAATGATTTGCATGCGTTGAGGGAAAAAATGTTTTGAACGTTGGTTAGAACCCCCAATAATTACTTTTGCCGCTGTGTTTTATCTTCCTTCAAATTGTTAAGCAGTAAGGATAAATAATTTGAACATGAAAACAAGAAATGTAATTAAACGTGAAGAAGACATAAGCCAAACAAACTGTTAGTCATACCCCGATTGATCAAATCGTGAAGCAGCGAGCACGTATCCGACTTATAGGCCAATTCACGTAGTAAGTCAGTTTGGGCAAAAAAGCCCTGAAAACCACCATTTTGCTTGAGGAAGAGGCACGATTTATACTTGTCTGGAACTTTGTCTGAAGAGACAAGCTGGAAGATTAACTAAAATAAAAACAAAGCTGGTTAACTCGGAAAAAAACAAAATGACGATTAGCTACATATATGTGCGTATGGCTACTGGTTCTAGGCAGACGAGGCGCCATTGTGTAAGAGTGCACAGACGTGTTAAGCAACTGTGAGCACTTCGATAGTTGCAGCAAGGACAGGAATTTCCATTTTCTGTCCCCGTTCAAAACCTAAACGGATATTTCAACTTTCCATTCTCGTGATAGTAAAACATACTTTCTTGGTTACTTGACAGGCGCATACAACGGACACAGATAACGAGTTGCTCACACGTTGGAACGGCAAGTATTCGGCCACTGATAGGGTCACTATGACAGCGTGGTACACAATCCAGTTGCAATTATCATGAAATTTTAAATCACTGCTATGCGTGCCCGCTTTAGAGAGCATAACACAATTTGAAGTAGGTGTTCATCAAAAGAGGAGTCCATGTAAATTTCCGAAACCCTAGACAGTTGAATAAAAAAATACTTTTCCTCAGCACAGGTTATTTGTATGCTGCGTAGAACCTAAACCGATAGACCTTCACAATAAATCTCTATTTGTCTGATGCAGGATATGGCGATACCACCTTTGATATTGACCATCTGGTGATGAAATGGTCGTACACCGATGCCATGATTGAAACAACGGAGCGTGAATTAAGAAGAAGGCTAATCAAGTTACTCTGAGGGCTTTTTCCTTCGCTGTGCCGTGCATCTTCTCGTTGGGGGCGAGAATAACAGAGTATATTTTTTCCACCATGTCCGATTCATAGGCAAGCAGGAGGAATTGGTCACCGGGGGTCACACTTTGAAGCATGTGGGCAATCAAAACGATCACTTCTGATATCTGAATGCAAAAAATAGCAAATTGGGGCGAGTTTATAAATGTGTGCGTCAGTTGTCATACTACTGTTCTTTTAGATTTACCTTAGCAACAAAAGTGCTTCATCACATTTGAGTGAAACGCAGTCACTGTGAGTTGAGAACACGTGCCCTACTTTTTTCAAAAGCAGTTTATGGGTTAATGCAACACCATTTGGTAACTTTTACCTTGAGAATACTGCGTGAGTGTTGTGCATCACGAGTTAACGGGTTCGGGCAACAACTTCCGGCAATGTACAGTGGAATGGGCAGCACAGAGCCTCTTTATTGACTTGCCGCTAGATTTTGTCGACTCACAAAGCGTTCACTAATGCACTCAATCGCCCAGTTATCGCAGCAGTTTAATGGCTGATTATACATGCTGTTGGCGTTTCAGCGAGTTTTATTTTCATCGTCACCCGGGCTGCGATAGACGGGTCTCCAGATCAGACCGATCTAGTGTCTACGGCATGAAATACTTCAAATCCAGCAAAGCACTGACCAAGTAGCTATCTAATTAAAGTTATAGATTTCGTGTTTGAACATCGCAGGTATTTGATTAAAAGGTCGGAGTAAGCTGACTATAGAATTTAATGACCACGTCCAACCTGTGGATTCAAAACGCCAAAAGAAAAGGCAGAGGGCAACTATCAGATGTTCACTCACCACATCGGGATGAGCGGATGACTCAAGAAACGAGAAGAGAGTCTTCATATCGGTGAACGTTGCGGATTTTGTGTAAAGGACGCGAATGATGGAATAGAGAGACTGACGAACGTATTTCATTAGAACATTAGTGGCCTCCAAAAGCGACAATTCAGCGGACTCCTTAGTTTCTGGTGGCAGCAAAGGCAGGATTGACTTAAATTCATCACAAATCGCTTTCTTTGGCCTAGAAAGTTTGAAACTTAACGTTAAAGCATACTTACTGCCAATTTATTTAACTACATTTTGATGTGAAACAGGACCATTACAATCATGCAACTGAATAATCAATAAAAAAGCACGCAAATGGACATGTAAGCACCTGAAAATGAGGCTGACTTTTGACATTTACTTCCTTAATTAGTTGGTGCAGTGGTTTTTGCCCCAAAGAAGTAAATTCACAGCAGCCAAGTCACATGAACCATGTTGGGAACGTGACAGTAACAGAAATTGCCAGTCATTTTGAACAGAAGTACATTGAGGACTCAGTGACGTCATGGTGTGGCTGGATCGAATACATAAATTTAGCAAACATTTATACGACAACTTATCTGCACAGGATAGATAGATAGCTGCATTCGAATTTTTTGTGGATAGTTGCTGCAAAACCTTTGCTGAGGATGTAGTTGTAGCAAATTGATGGGTCAAGAAAACGTTTTATTCATAGATAAATCAAATTGGACTAATACTATGCAAAATAACCAGACATGTGCTCGGTTATTTAAGCTACTTCCACACTGCAGGAAAATGAAAACCCACGCAAAGTAGAATCCAGCCGCAGTTAAAATATCTGAGATGGGCAGATGCCGCCGGTAAATGGATCGATTGACCTTGACCTTTTTGAGGAGGTGTCGCACGTGCTGGAGGGCCGCGACGGGAGAACTCTTCGACCAAAGCGACCAGTCCGCAAAGAGCTGCTGCACAAAGAAGGACCAGCGCACGCGGAAGGTCTTTTGAGCGACCTGCTTGTCTTGTTCGTGTTGAATCACGGTAACGAATTCACCGGCTGCCTCGACACGATTATCCAAATCAGAAAGCACAGATGCCGCGCACATGTCCATCATGCTGTGGAAACTTATTACTGAGTTGATGTTTAATTGAAGTGGGTCAATCTAATAAAAGAAGCCATACAATGCTCAGAAGGGTGATGTGACTGAATGTAAAAAACGGAAGTCGTAAACACATTTTCGCTTCTCACAGTCACCAAGTGTAAAAACCCTTCATTTAAAATTGATTTAGTTATAAATGTGGAAATTTTATGCTGTGACAAGGCCCGTGGTTAGTTAATGGATGAACTTGTAAGTGTAACCTGAGATGTTGAACGGAAACACGCTGTAAGTAAACCATACCTAACTCATTGCCTCCGTTGGTGAGTTGAATTAAGCCTGTTTTCTGTAAGGTGGAAAACCCAAATCCCTAAGTTCCACACACGATTGGCCTGGTAAATTCACTTTTTGCACCATCATCAGGTTGAAAAGAATTAGCATTTTGAATCGATACTCAAATCACTTCAGTGATAGTGCAAGGAACGACAGAGAAAAAGGACTGCTTTTGCAGAATTCAGTGATACAAAGAAATCGCAATCGTATTTCACCTAAGCTAAGCCCATGAGCCCTAAGTAATCATCGCACCTCAACTACATTTTATCTGACACCAAGCGAACAAACTTGCCGAATTCAGCAGATGACCAAAAGCCAGGACAACGCTTGGATGGAGAAAATTCTGTCGAACCCTGGTGTCCGCTTGGAGGACCGTCTTCAGAAAGTTAAAAAGGATCGACACACGGCTAGTAGAACGACCGGTAACTAAACAGCAAAAAGGCCAAAACTAGGCAGCTTGGGCACCATTTCATATTAGGAATAGTATATTTATTTTCTTGTTTTCTAATGTATTCAGTGCACAAATGGTGAGTTACCCGGCAAATTGGGAGAGGTCAACGGGGTCGGGGTTGTCAGGAGCGTTGCTGCCAACTGCAACACCTCAATGGACACATTTAGAACCGTCTCCTGAGGTGTCTCGTCCATCAAGGCGCCAGTATTTGGAGTCACTGGGAGCGCAGACGACGACGTCTGGTCCGAGGACTGAACACTTCGGTTCTCGCCGTTACTCAAAGCCTCACGAAATTCCGTTACTGCCGCGACAAGATCAGTCAGACTTCGGGTAGTGTTCGTGTTTGTCGTAGAGTCAGGCGGACACTGTCCGATGATTTCGAACAGTGGAAGCAGAAACTGTATTCCGCCCAGCCTGTAAATGGAATCCTTAAATACCAGAAAGATTGAGTTGTTACTTAACGTTGTCAAGTAAACATTCTATCAGTTGTGATGAAACTTACGACTAGTGTGGTTGAAGAAAGTCGCACGGTTCCATGAAGGTGGGCGGGTAGACAAAGGGCTTCGAAGGTGTTTTCCGAACCAGCAGGTGGTTTTGACTGCCCTACGCCACTGAGAGCCAAGTCGAGACACACTTTGCCTGTGTCAGTAACAGCTTTGGCGTGATAATAAAATAAAACACGCTGCTGGGGTGTCTGGAGAATCAGATCAGTCACTAGTGTGCAGGTATTCTCACCTGAAATACGAAAAGGTAGTCTAGACAGAGTTACATGGACACCCAACACTTTTACGCACAAAGGGACGATCAGTTTCAATGGTGGCATTTAGTGAAAAACAGGTAATCCCAAACCAACGCATTTGACACAAAATTCCCACCCAATCGGCGGAACAGTTGCATTCTGTCGATGTTCTTTTGTGATTTATCACACTGAGCGTCAAATTAACTGGGCTACAGCAGGGAATATCTCAGAACGCACAAAACCCAATCCTGGACCTCTAATTTTATTTTCTGTGCGAGGTAGGAAAACAAGCATTGATTGTGGTTAAGAGAAAGTGTAGGTGACTACAGCACGCAATATTGTGGCTAAAGTGATATGAGCTGTAGAACCTGGTAATTTAGGTTAAAAGTGACTAGAATACGAGCTGGTGTGCATTAAATAAAATAAGAAGAAAATCAGAAAAAAGAATAACTAAATTAAAAAACATTGAAAGGTCTGGAATTTTAAAAAAAAATCTCAGTGTAATTACATTTCTTAAAGTGAACTAAATTCGGTTTTAAACTGGCTAAATCTGGAATGGACATCTTAATAGCGTCAGATTGTTTTTTAGCGATCTACATCCCAATCCAGTTGTTTGACACATGTTACTTAAAGGTTTAACGGTGTTTTCAGTAAGTAGGAGTAATTAGAGGGAAACAAAAGACATTGAAATTATTTAAAAGCTACATATGAGTATTTTTTAAATGATTGAAGTTTTATGATTGATTGTGGGTAAGATATACCGACAAGTTGCTCACTTGCCGAGGTGCATTTAAATGGTCAAACCCAGTTTCATTGTCTACGAAAATAGACAATGAAATCCACTACACTACTTGGAAGAAGTACGGAAACGTGAAAAAACCACAGGTAAGGAGCGTTAGCAAAAACCTGAGCCTGGTGTTTTGCGTGTTTCCGAGAGTTGGACAACGTGCTGCAATAGTTAAAAGGAGGCCCGAAGAACGAGGCATTACAACAAAGAAACGGGAAAGCAACTGCGGAGAAATTAAAATGTCTGTGTTTACGAGCAAATTGAACTTATTCAAACGAAGAAACTGTTGTGGTGCTCTAAAGATTATGTGAATTCTGTCTTGTTACCCAAAAGTCGGGTTTTGGTCAAAGAAAAAAACACGAAAGGTAACTACTCCATTGAACGATTAGACGTATTCAACAACAGTTGGAAAAAAAAACATTCATTTTCTAGTGACATAAAGACAACCCACCACCGAAAAAATCACTGTTAGTTGACCATTAAGTTAGGTAGGTCATAGCTTTCTAGCCTGTCAATCGTGCACCGAACGAGGAGACAAGACAATCACTGCAGCAGTCGAGTTAACGTCCCCGCTGTCTTGACTTCCGGCTTCATGGAACAGTTTTGCGATGGTTAAATATGTGCTACCTGCCTTTTATTAAAGTTGATAGTCAGTTATCCTAGTAAACTATATGTGGAAAGCAGTTTATGTTCTTTATATCAACTTGGCCAACACGGCACATATCAATTCTGATACTCAACGACGCAGCATTAGAGGATCTGGAAGATATACTGACTATTAAAAGTAATTTTGATGTTATCAGAACATACCACCCGCTTGTCACTAGAGCTTATTCAGTGGCATAGTAATAAACCGCAACGAATACGGACTGCGATTTCCCTTTTTCCGAATATACTTTACAATTTCATGTATAGTTACCAAGTGCGACACTTCACTTGATTTGTAAATTAGGGGTTAAACCGGTGCGTTTTCACCCGTTTATTGTTCAGCGCTTGGGTTTTTTTCGCGCGGATTCCAACAAGAGGAATTTACATGCGCACAGTCGCGAAGTACCTACGACCAAGGGTCATAATATCGTCATTTGTGTGCTTTAGGAGGCTTCGAAAATGGCTGTTCCAGTGGTTTTGTGGTTTGTGCTTTTGGCGTATGAGAAAAATTAACGCTAATGCCTGAGGTCTACGGTTCATCTCAAAACTCGCAGTATTTACTCAACGAGTAACGGTTGCGCATTGTGATTAAATAATTAATGACATGGTCGATGGAAGTGGAATCCTAGTCTTAGATTTTAGCTGCCAAGTGAAGGAGAAGGAGAAACGATACTTGGAAAACACGGCAAATCAGTTAGTGGAAAAAATATGACTGAAGTAGTAAACACACCCAAAACAGTCTATGCACCTACCTTCTCCTGACAAAGACTTACAGAGCTTTTTTAGGGACACGATATCTCCGTTTCTTACAAATAACTTGATTCTACACCAAGGACAGATAAGTGATTGATGATGCCAACTGCCAGAATGCTAAAAAATGTTTTCAATCAAAATTAAATTTTAAAAGGTAGAAGGCTCTAATTGGAGGAAAAGTAGGATGGCTGGATTGTTGTTTGAACCAAGGAAGTAGAAAAACACAAAAGTTTTCAGTTTTCATTTTTTGGCAAAAGAGAAGTAAAACGGGTTATTTTGCTGTCGCGGCTTAGAAAGTGGGCAAAAACCTATTAAACAACCGAAGTAAGGGTAAAATCTACTCTGTTGTCACCAACTGTTTTGTAAAAATGGCTAAGGTTATCACAACTCGCGGTAGCCTAACTGATCGTTTCAACTAGAGATATTGTAAAACTTAAAACCACCCAATCAACGGGATTCAGCAACCCCTTCGATGACATAAATTATAGGATTTTGTTCAGTGGAGACGCAAACAGCCACCTGAATAGTGAAAATGTGTCATTTGCTTGTTGTTCAACTCAAGCAGTCTCAATATCAAGCCCAATTAACTTCGTGTTCGAGATTCCATGTAGTTAGCTTGCGAAAGGTCACTTTTGTGGCGATAAATCAAGCGAAAATAATACCTCCGTCAAAATATTGTCTTTGTTCAATGACTTAAATACTATAATTTTGAATGGGTTTTGCATTCAACGGAAGAACCGACTTGTCCACAACAACGATTGATTATTATCTTTGATTCTAAAAATTAAAATCCAGATTTAAAGAACTACATGAGCAATCTTCAGGTGGTACTTAATTATAAGACGTGTGAAGTCTTGATATTTATGGTGGCTTTGACAATGTCAGGCAACAACACAGAGGTAATGAAGCTGCATCTTTTTTGGGGTGTTAAGTTGAACACTTCCAAGCATGGTTTGTTGTCCTTTAAAATCTTGAGAACGTAGTGATCAAAGGGGTACAAACAGTGGTTGCCTGAGTGATTTGATTTTGTGCTGCTCACGTGACATACAAATACACGAAAAAGAAGTTCCCGTAAAAAATTGGGGTGCGATGCATGAGGGCAGTTTCGGTACGTACCACCCTGGACCAACCAGTCAATAAATGCCTCCGACACGGACTCGTTGAATACCGCGACGTAGGAGAGACGTCCGCGGAAGGCGCTTAGAGAGCCCCAAACAGGCCGCTCCTCACCAATGAGGACGTGCTGTGGTTCGGAGACTTTTTTACCCGACCCGCTGGATCCGCCGATGCCAAGGCTGGACCAGAGCGAGGGCTTTGTCTGTGCTCCTTGCTTGGCTGAAGCCTTAGCGGGAAGCTTCAGAGCTAAACCGGAGTAGCAGGTCTCCTCGATCCAAAGGGGACACCCACCATAATGGAAAAGGAGTAGGTCCTGTAGCGGAGGGATAATTGTTGCGAAAGTAAATGCGAAAAGTGGTGACTGTTAGGGTATCATGCGCTTGGGTTTAAATGTATCCATTTCGGAGAATGATACACTTATCAAATTATGCCAGGTCATTCTGTGCGGCCTTTGTCTTTAGTAAAATTTGCATTGATGATTAAGTCGATCCGAGTGATTAATAACGAATTGCGAGAGAGGAATCACGATCCACAGAGGACCAGAACCCAGACATGGTAAATATCAACCCAGCTTTTTTCAGAACAAACCGGACCTGCTAAGATTAGTTTTCTCCACAGTAGCGAAATCAGATGTGGTGAAAAAGACATCTGATATCAAAATAATCGCAATTAATGCCCATTTAAAAAAGACAAAATATTTGCGAGTAGAGCTACTCAGTGTAAAACGTGCGCACGCCATGCAGTTGGATCATTGGGAGGTGCACGACGACTTGTGCCACACCAAGAACTGTGCCATGAAGTGTTTATTCTCAAATTATATCAAAATGTCTTTTAAAAAATCGAGAACAAAAAAACCATTGCATAAGACGGTCTGGGTTGAGATTGATGTTCATAACGTAAAATACATAGGCATTCTTACTTCCTTAATAAGGGGGTAGCGGAATTCGTCTTCGAACACGCGATCCATATTCAGATAGACGGTCAACGTAGACTTCGTGAAGAAGCCTTTATTGTTGGAAAACACAAGAGAAAGGGCCGTCCACTTGTTGAGGGGAACGTGCGTGGCACCACACACCTGAAGAACAAGGAACCACTAATAGGCACAAGGTGAAAAACATTACAATGCATCTATGTAATACCATCAACATCTGATAACTTCTCGAGTCCTTCACGTTTGAAAACCCAAAATCTATCTGTTTGAGTTCATTTAAAGTAGGTTCTTTTATGATCATTCAGGCCTAACAATTTTTACATGATTGCCGAAATTCATGAGCTGTTTGAAATTAAGTGAAATACAACAGATTTAAATGAAAAATAGCCCCCCGGTAATGCAAATGTACTTTCCAGCATTTCCCAAAAAATTTTTCTGGTATTTTGTGTTCCTTCTTTATGCAAACTGAGGATGTTAGCTTAAAAAACGTTGTAAAGTGGCTAAGAATTCTTTCGCAGAACCACTTTTTTCGCCACTCAAATTACTTCGCATAGAACTTTGAAAGCGCGAGGTCAGGGGAATACGGCGGGTGATGACAGAGGATTTCAATTTTAAATCTCTAAGTCTTTGCAGCGTCCATCGTGTGAAAATTGGTCCAGCGTTGTCTTGACAAACGAAGACGCCTTTCGATAGGCCGAATCTGGACGTTTTGTGGAGTAGGATGACGCTTCAGCGGTGGACATGTCAACATCGAGTTGGGTGAGTTCCTGGTATTACATTTTCCCAGTTATTTTTTTGGCCACGTGGAAGGAGACCATCAGCAGTGGTTTCTCTGCAGTTCTCATATCATATACACTGCAACAGTTTCATTGGAAGACGAGATTTAGCTGTGCATTTTCATGTTTCCAGCTTCTTTTTCTTATTAATTTGTTATACATAAATCATTTCTCATCTCCAGCTTTGACTTGATACAAGAACTATTCGTTTTGCTGACAGGTGTAGAAAGAAATCCTTGGAAAAACAGATCAGTTGGCTGTGCTTTGTCAAATAATATGGAACCAATTTATCATGTTTCGAAGTCTATCCTCGTGGCTTTGAATGGCAAAAGGGAGAGACAGTCCGTGGGTTTTTGTTCTCTAAATTACAAATAAGGTCGTTATCAAAGCCACAAGTATGTCCAGAGCGACGTTTATCCAGTAGGTTAAGGTCATTATTCTGAAGCAGGAAACTGATCCAAATAAGAGACTTGAACATTACTTGTTGCTTTTTTAAGAACACTCATCATTTAAATTCAAATAAAACAACCTAAAAAACTAGCCATTCACATTCATTTTGAGTTCTAAACTTGAACAAACTGACTTAAAAACGTATTTTTTACGAGAATTTTTACTCACAAAGCATTTGGATGACTATAAATTAATTAAATGATTATATAAGACATATAAGCTTTACTAAAAGTGCATGCTTGTGTCATCTATGAAAATCGGACGTTATCTCATCACCAAACAGAGAGGAGCAAGCGCAGCTGGGGAAGTGGCTAGACTAAATTTAGCGATTAATCACTTGTGCCAGCAATCACCTAGTCTGATTAATTTATTCACGACAAACGCTGACGTCCCAGACGGCGAATAACGACTTAAGTGACTGGTAGGTGAGTAAAATAGGCAATGACGAATTGAAAATGGTCTTGTTCCTTCGAAGCATACAAATTAACCACCTCACTGGAGAGCGAACCTCAAAACCATTCATTTGTTCTTGATTAGAGAGTTTACCGGAAGAAGGAAACTGGGTAGTGTATTACCACTTTTCCTTGGTGTAATTAATGACTGACGGCTGCATGGAAATGCCTGCAAACAGGGTGGAGGATGACGGGTAAAAACTGGTATCTACTCGTTGACAAGGGTTTGCAGATTGACAGAATCGACCGCACCCAGACGTTCATTTTGTCTGCGTTCCAGCAATAATTTCGGCCAGGTTTGGTAGTTACCAGGCGCGCAAATTGAAAATATACCCAGAGCTGGTAACTCCTTGACAAGGAAAATAACTACGATGAAATTGGTATTTATTACAATTAAGTCCATTTAGTCAGGAAGATAATGCTTAAATAATGCTTTGTGAGTGAAGAAAACTTAAAATTTTGATAAACGTTTACTTCACACGATTCCTTGAGCGCATATTGATACGTGATAGAATCAGAATCGATTCTGTCTTAAATAAGATGGAAGAATAATCGACTAGCTCAGTATGCAAAGTATACAACTCAACTGAATACTCAAACTGTTAATAAGCCTAGTTAATTTACGAATACAACCACAATTACCATATGGTCAGACTTTGCGTGTCAGGTTCATTCCTCTGATTCCCTGATAGGTTACCTGACCCTACATCTCTACATTTGACCTCTGATTTCTCGCTTAAACCCGATATGTAGTCCTGAAACATTTCAAAACACACTTGTGTAAACATAGTTCCAGAATCACCCTGATATTTCACGTCACCCAATCATAAAAACAGACCGATAACTACAGATGATCAAAAGCGACATATCACAGCTTTTGGTCTTCTTATTCTACTCTGGATATTTGTGCCACAGCATGTTCATTATTCTGCTTTTAGGAATTCTAAAAGACCGATGCTTTCACGATTAAAAACGTGTCATTACTCTTGTTTGTATTTTGTGCCTTTGCGAATCAATGCGAATCAAGTCAGTCAATTTGTAATATGTGAGTTTGAAGATTTTGTTTGGCCCAGAGGATAGCTACACAGAATGCGAATTGTTAAAAACACGGGTTCTAATTAATCCTCTTGTAGAGCACTTTAGCAGTCGCATGGCCTTGACTAATGTCAAATTCTAACAAAAAACAACACAGTAATTACTCTGTTACATGCATCAGATTAATTGTGAAGCGAGACGGGCTTAGAAGGCTGAACACGTAATGCAATCAAAAGAGGGATTGGTATTAGAGTTACTAAACGTCTTTTTTATAATTTGAAGTACCAGTTAAATTCAAGCAACTGTTTTGACCTTCCGATATAACTAGTGCCGTCCTGACAATGCACAGACTGCACGAAAAACGGGAAAATTGTTAGACAAAATTACAATTTGTTGACACACTAATACAACTGAAGGAGTAATGTAAGTAGAAAACAAATCTGCCTTCATGTCAACACAAATCTATATTATAAATAATTACTTTAGTGATTATTGGAGACTGTTAACAGAAAGGATAGCTAGGCAAGGTGGTCCACAAACGTCTGTCGCAAATTCCTAACGTATGAATTGACGAAACACTTGGTTTAGTGTGAAAACTGTTACCCCCGAAACCCATTAATTGCTACCTTCGCCTCGTGAAAACGAGAAGGTGTAATGCTAGTGTGATTTATGTGCAGTTAGTGTGCGTGATTTTCATTGCACGTGGGCAATTGAGAAGGACGATTTTATGGAAAAAAAGGGACTCCAGCCTAACACCAACCGACATGACGAATGTACGGGGCCAAAATGCTTTCAAAGTGCCTCCCTTAAAAATCTTCTACCGGGATAAAGTACTTACTTACAAATTACTTAAAAGTTTGATCAATTTTGTGAATTAACGGGGCTTCATAAAATATTGCATTTGGTTGAAGTGATAGAAGCCACTTCCCATTCAGGGCTTTACACGGACAAAAGGGTCAACTTCGAAATGAACCAGAAAGAAATTAGCTCCGGTTAATGGAGTAATGCGAGTCAATTTTCACTCCTGGAAGGAACATTAAACAACTTCCATTTTCAATTTTGCCAAATGAATTCTGTCACCTTTCAGACAACTTCGTGATTCCGAGCTTAAAGAAATCCCGGTCCTCGTTAGCGAAAAATTAACTGTGATATCAAGTCATCGTCAGTCAACATTCAGAGGAACAAAAAAATTCCAAAAAACAACGATCTGGTAAATCACACCCATTGAAACTCGAAGAATCACCTAATTGTTTCACAACGACTGTGAGGCCTTGCCTTGCATTCGTAGTACACGATTTCCTTGTGATTTTGCATTTATGACCGTTTTTCGTTTATTATTTCTCACAATTTAATTATATGATACCCTCACTATCTTGGAGGAAGCTCAAAGTACACAAAAATATCGTAATCATACCAAAATCAATATCGCCATCTTTCTGACGTAATCTGTGACGAATTCACGGCGCTTAACATGTAAGCACTTTTGAATGATGATAAGGTGTGCTTCAAGTTGGATTAGAAATGCATATTTTTAATACGAAGTATGAACTGGAGTATATTTCTCAAGTCGTAAAGTCAAGTTAAGTCATAGCCAATCTACGACATTCTAATTGATTTCCAGTTGCTGTCTGCGATAAACATGCCAGTACCCCGCATAGTTATAAAATGATCCGACTTTATTTTTTTTTAGATTAGCTATCATCAAGTCCAATAAGTCGGTAATGGATTCAGAAAACATTGAATGAAAGATCGCCAAGTTAGAATTTGTTAAATCAATTTTCACAATCGACAATTTAGCCATTAAATGCCACTTTGGTAGCCTTAGCAGTGTTTCTATCACTGCGGGCACAAAAAACAATAATGCCGTGAATTTTAAAGGTTTCCTAGTTCACGTGAGTAATTACACGAAAGTTAGAACTGAAAACAAAACTATTCGCGACTCGCTCCTGAAACTTGCATTTATCAAATTTTAATGCCGAAAAAGTGAGGTCATTTTCGAAATTCCTTCAAAACAGGTCATACATTTATTTCCGCCCATTCGGTACAGAAACAGCGCCCAGGTTAATTAATCAGTTCACTCGTGCAACTTAACCGCACAGCAGAACAGGGATTTTTTCAGTAAAGTCATAAATTTTGAATAACGGAGCATTCAAACATGACAGACTAAGCTAGGTGAATTTTAACGCATCTAAAAACGAATGTTTTGCCGTATGGAAAATACAGATAGTCTATGAGAGGAATTTGGAGTGCGGAAGTAATTTTGAGCATTGAATACACAAAGGTTGTGCATGATATGCCGTTCGTTCTGTCAGTCGCACAAGTCTAGCATGATTTGCAAGTGTTGATAGACTGATAGCGAGGACGAATTGCTAAAACTGAACATTTTAGGCCGGGAGATAGTACATAAACCTACGCACGATTCCGACCTTTCTAGAACTTCGCTTGTTCAAACTATTCTATTCTGGATCTGAAGGCGGAGGCATTTGTAGACTGACCAACAAAGG